GTTGTAGTGACTCCCCCCAGAGCAGCCTTCTGTCCCCCCCCCCTGCACTAGTTGCTCATGGGCCGCATAAGAGCTCTGGACGGGCTGGTTCTGGCCCCCAGGCCTTATATTTGACTTCCCTGTTCTAAACTTCCTGTAGCACCCCCAGAGGACACTTCACATGTAGAGATTTCACATGTTTTTACTCCTTTCAGTGTCAAAAGCAGTGGCCCGGGAGCCACACGTGGCTCTTTGACACGTCACATCTGGCTCTTCCGTTCCTCAGTGTGGCACCCGGCCTAGGTTTCGGGGAGGCGAGCAAGGCCCTAGCCCGGGGAGGGGGGGCCCTTCCGGATGGCAGGTGGCTTCCACCTTGAAACAGCCACTGCCAAAGGCGAAGGCCACGGGCCCGGGATGGAAGTAAACGCAGCTCTTTCGGTTGACGGTAATTGCAAATGCGGCCCTTCGTTAGGGACACAGAGTGAATCTAACGGGGAAGGAGATCACCACCAGCACAAGCAGCTCATAAAACCTACGACTGAGAGCCCTGAGTCATTCCAGATTAGCCGAGAGTACGAGGGGTGTCATCCTGTACACAGGACCAAAACCAATAATTATTCCAGGTAGAATTATAGAGTTGGAAGGGACCTCCAGGGTCATCTAGTCCAACCCCCTGCACAATGCAGGAAATTAACTAATACCTCCCCCCCCCCCCCCCCCCCCAGATCTCTGGTCAAACTGTCCTGGAGAAAAATGACTTCCTGACTCCCAAGTGGCGATCGGCATTTCGCTGGGTGTGTAAGAAAGGGCCACAAGAACTAAGCACGGATTAAACCCTTCCTGCCCTCCCTCTCATGATCTGCCTGAATTCACAGAATCCGCCTTGCTGTCAGAGGGCCATCTAGCCTCTGCTTGAAAACCTCCAAAGAAGGAGAGCCCGCCACCTCCCGAGGAAGCCTGTTTCACCGAACAACCGCTCTAGCTGTCAGGAAGTTCTCCCTAATGTTCAGCCGAAAACTCTTCGGATTTAATTTCAGCCCATCGGTTCTGGTCCGACCTTCTGGGGCAACAGAAGACAACTCCGCACCATCCTCTTATATGACAGCCCTTCCAGTACTTGAAGATGCGTTATCATATCACACTAAGTACTAGGACGACATGTGACCTTCCCCTGTTACAATGTGTCGTGTCCCCCCCCCCCGAAAAGAATCAGAAAACAGTCTGAATATGTACAGGGGTAGGAATTTTGGTCTTACCAAAGGACACCGACGGGATGAGTTTTGCAGTTGGGGAGGGGAGGGGAAGCAGGAGAAGAAGGGGTGCGAGAGAAATGGGGGGGGGGGGGCA